ATCCGGCCTCGAGTCTTCTTTATATATGGACGGGTAATAATGGTCACGGAACGATCGCGGGGGCGATAATGGGCCGCGATAAATCGACCGTGCGCTCACCCTCTCGCTTCGAGAGACGTCATCTGCGGTGGTCATTCGCGTCGTTTCGTGTCGCTACAGCTGTTGTCGCAAAGTCATCGCCGCGTTATCCCCCCTTCACGGTAATTAACTCGATTAGTCGATCGACGAGGTTGCGAGCAAATTAAACGACTTTTTTTCTCTCTCTTTCTCTCTGCGGTAGGCGCGACAATTAATTTCTTATCGCTCCGCATCTCTCGTTGGGGTAATTTAAGTTGGACATGAAGATGGACATCTTCAAGATAGTGTAAGGTTTCTGTAATATTGATGATTTGCATAAAGAAACGCAGGAATTATTTTTCATCGATTCTAATGACTTTTAGATAGGTATAATTAAAATTAATTTCTTTGAAACTTTAAATTGGAAATAATAATTTCACTGTTTCATATATATATTTATCTTTACTTTTGTTAAATTTTAAGATGAAAAAGTTGTCTATATTTGAAAGAGACATCGATATCAATTATAATCATAAAAATAGATTTGGAATGCTGCATAATGCATTTTGTTTAAAAATGTGAGTTCTTATTATTGCTATTAATTAGAGGCAAACGCGATTTAAGAATACAAAAAAAAGAAAAACTCATCGGTTCCGGGAAATTTTGTGAATTCAGCAATGTAATATGATCGTCACTTACGGGCTCTTAAAAGGACGCGAGTTTTGAGTCTGTTGTCATCCCCTTACGTGTTAAATTACTTTGGGACACGATACGATAGGAAAATAGGAGAGGGGAGGCGTGATGGCGCGAGAGGGCTGCAACTCGACTCCGGATTGCCGGCGACAATGAGCTGGTAAACTTTCGATCCTCGACAAACACAATTTCGATATGCTTTTAAAAACCGGAAAATTTCTCTTCAAAGGAAGTAATACGACGAGGGTCAAGCTAATCGGTGCATACACGTCCCGTTTCAAAAATGCAGCTTTAGATAATAAGCTTTAGATAAATTGAGAAAGATTGGAGCATTTTTTATGGGGGCATTTTAAATTGTTGTTGTTAAGTTAATTCAAGTTGTTTTTAAATGCAAGTTATAATTGTTTTACAATTTTTTTCTAGTAATTTTGAATTGTTTTAATATGTTAAATCGTCTAATTTTTATCCTGCTTATTTATATATAATATAGATATATAAAATATCAATATACTTGTTAAGCAAAATTATTTTACTTTCATATAATTTCTATCGATAAATTGATAATTAATCCATTATTATTTTATTATCTTTTCTGGTGGCTTATATTATTTTTATATTAATCATATTTCTAATATTACAATTTTATATATGAAAATTCATATCAATTATTAAAATATATTCTTTAATAGTTTTGCGGGTATAAAATTTTAGATCAATTTACTTTGGAAATTGAGTCGCGCCGCTCATCAATCATTAAACAATATTGCTGATTGAATATATGGTAAAAGTTACTTATACTTATTTAATCAACGTTCAGCACTTTGAAAAATTAAATAATAATTGATCTTCGAATTTTATATATATCCTTTTCTCTGCATGTAGGCAGTTTCGATATGTTTCTATAACGAGACATTCGTTCCCCCTTTTTTTTATTTTTACAACACGATGCGTGAGTATACGTATGTATAGTTTTTCGCTATCGGCTCTCCGTTTTACGAACAACAAAAGGTCTTGCGAAAATGTTTTGCGAATAGTCTCCCTGTCGAAATATATTTTTGTATACGGTCATCTTCGTGCGCAGCCATTAGATTTGACGCACTCTTGGAAATGGATCGGACTTACACGATGTAACAAACTTTGAAAATCTCGTTACTTAAAGGAGTTTTCGTTGCTCTTTTTCAAGCTAATATATAATACATTATTAAAGATTTTTACATCGAAATAAAATATTTTTGTTTACGTATAAAAATAATAAAGATATACATCTGAAAGCAGTATTATCAAAGTAAAATTTTTATTCACATAAAGAAATTAATTTTAAATAAATTTATATTTTATTGTTTTAAAGCGAATTTGTCACTTTTAATGCATACTATTATATAAATATATTCCCATCGGTATAATACATTTTATAATATCTAGGATATTTACTAGATATCTAGATTACGCAATATATGTATTTATTCATTCAATATTCAAGGGATATATCCCATGAATATTTCCCAAATATTTATCTCCAGTGATTTTACAGTGTAAACGCAATTGTATAGAACCCACGCATAAAACAATCGCGGTCGGTAACAGATACATAAACGCGAGACGCTAGACAATATCCTCGATACTAACAATTCCCTCTGGTTCATGAAAGATTACTGCGTGCGGGTATGTTGCGAGCGGGACATTTAGAAGAAGAAGTCGATAAAGCTGTAAATGCTGCGCGAGAGACAAAAAGGCAGATGAATAGAGAGAGATAAAGATAGAGAAAAAAAGAGAGAGTTCATAAAGGTAGATCAGAGAGATCAGAGGCCAGCAAAGAGACACCCGAAGGTGCGATGGCGCGAGAGTGTTGATTGAAGTGCGCGTACTTACGCATATACTTACTCGGATACGCTGCCACCGCATCATACGTGTGCAACGGATGCGGAATGCAGGCGATGCAGATGCATTGTCGTCGGTCCTCCTTCGTGGTCGCGTTCGCCAGTTTCGCTGTTTCGACGAGCATGAATGCGTGATGTTCGTGCTCCGGAATGCTTGATGCTCCACTCTTGCCAAGAGTGAAAAGAGCTCGTGGAAAATTGCACATACACACGCGTAATTGTTATGCTACGTTTTTGATTATGCAGTCACAAGTCACAGATATCCAACAAATATATACGTCATTTTTTATCTGAACATATAAAATTACTGTACGCGAGAAAAGTTCGTTATTATTTTTGGTAAAAAGAATACAATTAATATTATATGCGTGAAACGCCTATGAATTGCGAGAGAATTGGATATTGGATAATAAATATTCAAGTACCTAATATATATTCATCAGAAATCTGTGCCATGCATATCTTTTACGAGATGCATCGAAATCTTGTTGTTATATTAATTTCTGATTATTGCATTTGTAGCTGATAATTCCAAAATTAAGATTTTTTGAAATTAATCGAATCGGAATTTATGTGCATTGTTTGATTTAAAATTTATCCTCAAATATTGCTTCGTGAATTATATTATTATTATTCATAATTTTGTTGATTCACTGCTTAAAGAAAAGACATTTTACAAGTTGATTATATAAATTAATGACTGTCATATTCTTCTATAGGAATTGAATGATTAGACTTTGAAGTATATTATTCTTTCATATAAATTCTGATAGAGAAGATTTGAAAATTTTTAATTTTAAATTTCGGGAGAATTGATTATTTTATATTTTTCTTTCTCACTGTTATTTGTGAAAAGTTTAGAAATTGCACGATATATCGCAAAAATCCTTTTTCGGTGATAAATTTTTTTTGCTTCACAAGTTTATCGATATTACGTGATCGTATTCAGTGTAGACAACATAGATGTAAATATGAATCAATAGGTTTGATTAACCGATGCACTTTTTGATACGTTCTCGCGACTCCATCAATGAATCGCCCGTCGATTTTATTTTGAAAATGGAACGTTGCAATTTTGTTCTGTGTCAATTTGTTTAGTTACGACACGACCCCTTATAAAGCCGCGCACAACACAATTAATTTTAACTCGGGATTAATTTGGATTCGGGATTTTTGTGAACGTTCCATCGGCGCGTATACCATTGTTCCATTATCTTTTTGCGAGCGCCACAGCAAAAGTGCAATTTAAGCGATATTCGTATTTTTTTTATTCGATATTGTTCGTCGATTCTATAGGCGAATGTCGAATTTACGAAAAGTATTACTTCGCAAACGAGATCGCGACGAATAGCAGCTCAATATCGATCCTGAGAAGAGGAAATACGAATGACGTGTATTGTTATGGTTCAACGATCATTATTTAGCGATTACGAAACGATCGGCTGTACAATAATTTGAGATCCCGGATCACAAATATCCGTATAAAACACGGTATGGCGAACCTTCATCTTAATTGACGTCTATAGATAGGTGATATACAATGTGAGAGAGGCGATATTTCGTAGCTCTACCGTTCTGTTTAATAAAATTATTCGTTTAGATACTTATCACAACATGTGGAATATATCGTAGGAACCCTGCCTGTGTCTTAACATGTGTGTGTCTGTAATATGTATGTATGTGTGTTTTTTGCGTGTACGTGAATATGTGTCCAATTTTACAACCACAGCGAATCCCGTTTTATACATCAGGTATTTGAACCAATGTAATTTCAGCGAGTTCAAATTTCTATAGACACGCGAAAACAATCTCCCGTGTTTATATACGCGCGACAGTGCGGAAACGCGCGCGTAATTTTTTACTTGATATTTCTTTTGCATCGAAAATCGAACTCGCCGAAGTTGCACCGACATTCTAATCCCTGGATTACATTAACGCAGCTCCCGATCACGGGCTCTCGTAGCTCGGTCTCCCTCGGCGCTCAAAATTACAATTAAACGCGAATTATACATTTTGCGCAAAGACTATTTACAGAGGGGTGGGAGGGAGGAAACGATTAGAGAAACGAGCACGATTCGAACAACAATTAAAATATCGGGTGTCGTACAATCATCGCGCGCGGGACGGTTCGAAAATTTCATCCTCGCATCCGCGCGAATTGTTTCTCTCGCAACGCGCATATCGGCACAATTAGAAGTCGCTCTATCGCTCTAATTATTATTCTATCTACAGAGATTCCAAATATATTCAAGTTAAATCGAATGCAAGTAAAATCTAATTCCGATTTCGCGGTGTATCGTCGTAAAATTTTGCATCCCGTGCTGCACAGTTTATACATACCTATATACGCAAACAAACTCTGGAAGCGACAACTTATACGGCGCGATATTATTACATCGGCGACAAACCGGAAAGAGAAACCGTATGAGATCGCGGCCAACTTTCGTCGTCCGTGGCTCGAGAGGAAAGGGAGTTTAAAATCATTATAATCACAGTTCAATTCTCTGCACAATTGCGCGGACTAGTATAATATTTTTGGCGCTTGATATGAAAAAAAGGCCTAAATCTTGAAATGTCTTGGTTTTCCGTGGAAAAAGATAATTTAATTACAAAACGAAATATTATCCAATTCTTAATTATCAATAAAATATTTGTATTATTAATTTAGTACATTTATTATCATTATTTTTTTCAAGACAAATAATATTGCGTTTTGCGACTTAATGCCTCTTTATCAAGCGCCAAAATAATTTTATTGAATAATTTGCAAAAGATTATATATTTTTCTAGGTAACAATAGAAGATAAAGAATATGAATAGAGATATGAGTATAAGCTTGTGCTTAGAAAATGTAGAGTTTCCACTTATCGCGTTTGTATTCCGACAAAATATTTTATTTACCGCCACGAGATGCGCTGCAGGAGAAGAAAGTAAAATCATCATCATCAGGATGATATAAAACTCTTGTTTTAATCTCAAAAAATACAGTAGGTTTCATGGAATTTTCTCAAATTGAATCTTCTATAGTCGAGAGAAAACTCTACATTTCCCGCTTATACTCACATTTATCCACGCCAATTAGTCGCCCAATAGTCCGCACTAGAAAACCATTCGAGTTCCAATATCGGTCTCGATTACCGCCGAGGGGACAGCTGCGCCGTGTGTGATCCGCGATGTCGGGTTAAAGGATGTCTTAGGACGATCGCGAGGACCCGTACGATTGCATTCTACTCGTCTACGTCGATCAGCCTGATGGCGCGACCCAGGCAAGAAGGCGTCGTCGTCGCGTCGCTCATCACCGTCGTCTCCCTCAGCAGACGCAGGCTACCCTCGTAAGTCGGACGGTGTTATTGCGAGGACGTCCGGGGTGGTTGGCCGTTGGGCGGGGGCGGGGGCGGGGGTGGCGGCTGAGGGTGCACCTGGTGGGACAGGAGACTGTGCGCCTGCACGTGGGCCGCCGCCGGATGATGATGGTGGTGTTGATGGTGATGGGAGTAGAAGATGGGCTGCGCCGTGGTAGGCGCGCACGAGGTGCCAACGCCGACGCCGACGCCCACGCCGACGCCGACGCCGACCGAATGCGACAAGGCGGAGGTGACGCCGACCGACGACGGCGGCGGTGGACCCGGGGGTCCGGGTGCCGACACCGAGACGGAGACGCCGCCGGACGTCGCGGTGCCAGCTGACGCCTCGTGATATAGAATCGGCACCCTTACCAGCCTCTGAGTGGCGTGTGCCATATTCGCGGCCTCCAGCTCGGCGGCCAGCTGCCGCTTCCACTTGTTCCGCCGATTTTGGAACCAGATCTTCACCTGGGTCTCGGTGAGCCTGAGCGAGGCGGCGAGGCCCGCTCGCTCCGACGACGAGAGGTAGCGTTTCATGTCGAACGTGCTCTCCAACTGGAACACTTGCGACCTGGAAAATACCGTCCTGGTCTTCTTCTTGCGCTTTATGCTGTTCGATTCGCGACCGTCCACGCCGACTTGCACGTTGTTCTGGCCGCTGTTGTTGTTATTGTTATTGCCACCACCGCCACCGCCGCTCGCCGAAGTACCGTGAAGACTCGTCGAGGTGGATTCGCCCTCGCCGTCGGCGTCCGCGCAATCATCCCCTTCGCCGAGGTCGTCGTGAACCTCGTCGCCACTCGACGGACTCCTCGCACGGTGCAGACGATCGTCGCCGTTGTCGTCGTCGAGCTCGTCTGTGCATAGAAAAATATACGCGTCTTAAACTCCATCGTTGTTTTCCGTATGTATTTTTTTTTTTCAACGCGTATTTATCTCGCATTTCGCGTGTCCTTATTCGAACCATCCCTCGCTTAACTATTTTATCAATTGCATCGAACGCTTATCGATAAATATGAATTTTCTTTCAGGAATTTTTATCGATTTCAATTTTTCATCTAATTTTATCGCAAATTATATTTATAATTATTTCTCTTCTTTTTCAATGTATCTGTCTTGTATGCATATCCTTCTTCGAATCACTCTTCACTTAACTATTAATAAGTTGCATCGAACGTTTATCGATAAACACGAATTTTCTTTCAGAAATTCCGATTTATTCCGAGTTTTCATCTGATTTTATCGGAAATTATATTTATAATAATTTCTTTTCTTTTTCAGCGTATTTATTTTTAGTTGCAATTAAACACTTTACCCGAAACCGATCGTTACTTGTAACATTTTTCTGCGTTAATTTTTTTGCACCAGTTATATTCTAAAAATCAAATATCTTTTTGTTTGTAAGAATTTTTTTCTATCTTTTTAACTGGGATTGTTCTTAACGATTAGTGAAACCAGTTCGATTAATAGTTTGATTGATGTATAATATTATAATTGTGTTGTATCATATAATGAGATATTTAGTAGTTAAATATATGCATAAGGCATACATTATATATGTATTGATCGTATATAATCAAATAGTTAATGAGAGAAAGGTAAACGCGTTAATCGCCCTTCTTTTTAAATGCATCCGCATGCATCAATCAATTCAGCGAGAACGCCTTGGATTTACAAATTCCCTCACGCGCACTCCGATAAATCGCCATTATATAATTTCTCTATCCGTATTGAATATTTAATCAATTAATAGAACACTAATTAATATTCTATTAATCCATTTTGACATAATTGCTGTGTATTAAATTGCGTGTGTAAACGAAGATACATCATCCGACGACATTATTTGTGTGACATATGCATATATTTGGGTATAAAATTCCGCCGTCGCGTCTCCTTTTAAAGTATATGACAAAAGGAATGTATAACAATTTTATTCATTTTCCCTTTATAAATATTTTTTACACTTTTTTACATATATGCCTTTTCAAATTGGCATACAATACTTTACGATCTTATTTGAATAATTCATTAATCTTTCTCTAATCATTTCTGTCACTCGGTAGTTAAATTTTTCTGAAATATTGTAATAATCCTGTCAATGGAATATATATTTTCGGTAATAATAATATAAAATATAACGACATTTGCAATACGGATAAATAATTATTTTTCTATTAGTGTAAATGTCATTAATGGTATGTATATTGGTGAATTTAATTCTTTTTCTCTACAAATAATCGTTATAGCGTAGATAAAAAAAATCGGCTCTGAAACGAAACTAGATACAATTCTTTTTTATAATCAATAATTTGATATTTGTTAGGAGAAATATACATATAATCGAGGGGAAACGCATATTTTTAAAAATACGTTTTCCAGTTTTTCTTATTCGTTGAGTGAGAGAGCACATCATTACTATTATATACTATTAAAACAATATATGTTAAGAAAAACTCCTGATCTTTTGAATTCGTAGATTTTAAAGTATTGTTTCTATTTGTTCTATACTTTTCATATTTTATATTTTAGATTATATCTATTTATTTTGAAGAAATTAAATTTTTAGCAATCTCTGAGAAATCATGATAAAAATAATACATGACAGTAATGAAACAATTATTATTACTATATCGTTAAAGAATTTAACGTTATGATGCGGGAACGCGCTATCAAGTGGAAAGAAGAATTCAGCATTTGTAGATGCGGATAGTAACTATCTAAGTGCTTAGGCAAGGTGGCAGAAGCAAAACGATTGCTGGGTAAGGCGATCGACGTTGGTTTGTCGTGGTGGAAGCCGTGGAAGCCTTACGCGTATTTGTATACGCAAAGAGATACAGATAGATATAGACGCGCGCGCGTCGATCTCTATACATATATGTATAGACAATATATGTATATCTGTATATCTATGAGAGGTCTCGCGTTAACTTTCGTTTCTTTTATTTCTTTTAAGCTTTCCTTTGCGATTTCGCGTCTCCGTAAATTGTGGCACATAATCTTTATGCTTCAATCTCTTTCAAAATGCGATATATTAATTATTTATTTTGATATTAAACACATTTTATTATGCATAGAAAATATTAAATATAATTTTAAATATTTCATTTAATATTTAATACATATATTAGTTTCTTTTAATGATTAAGATAATGGTACCACCGATTGTACAGAGACTTAGACCAGGAGTTTAACTCTCACATTTTTCTATCTTTCGCTTAATCAAAGAGATTCAAGCAGAGATACGTTTCATAGTATACAATACTTTGATGCTTTATTGGAGCACCGCATTTTGTGCGAAACAATGTTAACACATTTCCGTTCCCTATTTTCTTCCAGATTATTCCAAGTCCTTAATCCTAAATAAGTCGTCTCGATCTGCTTACAGGTACGCATAAGGGTGACTAAGAAGGACCTTAAACTTACCTCGCTGCGGGAAAGACGCGGACGCAGGGCTGACACGGCTGAGGGTGCCGACCACGTCGCTCGGCGAGGGATGCTCGAGCGTTTGCAGGCTGTGCGTTGGCCTCCACGGAAACGGCCAGCCGGCGCCGCCGAGCAAAACTCCGCGAATACCGTCGGCGTCGACGATGTCCGGCGACTGGCCAGCAACTTGCACGGCGTTGCTGAGAGCGGACGACGCCGCTGCGGCCAGTCGCGAATGGTGCTGATGCTGCTGCTGCTGATGCTGATGGAGATGCTGCAGCGTCGACGGGTAGAACAGGCCGCCGATGCCGACCGGATATCGACTCGCTATCAATCTACGACAAGATAACGCATTGATGTTTACTGCTACACAGTACGGAGGATCCATGAGCAACTGAAAGAGTCAACGGGAGGCGGAGATTCTTCGTAAAGGTTGGTGAAGGTTTCAAATAGAGAGAATTTTTGTTGAATCGTCCAGCTTTATTCGGATTGATGATCCGAGAAATGATTTGGTCTCTAATAAGAGATGTTTAGGAGAGATGTATAGTTTAAGACGTTGATACGTAAATAGGCTTTGACAAAGTTAAGGATCTTTGCTTTCTTGAATTAAGTAAAGAATATCGAAACGTCAAAACAAATGTTCTTATTCGTTTAAATATGCAAGAAGACTTTATTTTCTTCAGAATTTTAATTTGAAGAGTTTTTTTGCTATTGAGATAACGTAATGTTGAATATTAGAAATTCTTTGAGTAAAAAAAAACAATCGAATTATTAACATGTTGATCGGGATTTTTAGAATATACTCTGCAGATAGTTTTGTGAAATTATAATATAATATAATCAATTGCAGAGACTTAAAATTAAATGTCACATTTAATATTTAATAGAATATAACATTCGCGTTATTATATTAGAAGATGATATTTTAACATGACATGAACGCGAAGAATAACGTCATTACGTCAAGAATAATGGTAAGTAATTAATTGACAAGAGTAAATTAATATTAGATAACTATATGTGGCGAAGTCCTTTAAGCTTCATATAGAAAATAATAATGAATACACGAATTTCGGAAAATTTATTTCCGAAAAATCACGAATACAATTATCGTTATAATTAAGAGATCTGTCTGTCTGTCAAAATTGTGGTAATTTGAATACGTGTTCGTTATACGTGTATAAGTACCATCGTTCGTAGTCGTTTCGGCGGCCATTACAACTTCGGATTTACTCAACCGCTCGGGAGAAAGCAAAATTTTCCATTGTCGGAATATTTGGATACGGTGTTTGCGTCGCAACAATAGCCAGACGTGCTACGAATAAACGCTCGACTGGCTATTAAGATTAAAAATCCGCTTAGAGCAAGAAGCTCTCGAAGAGATCGTCGCCCTGACCAGAGGGTATTATACCTGCATCACGAGCAGGAGCCCTTCCAGTAGCGAATCTAGTAGAGAGATCCCTTATTCATAGAGATTTTAATTGAAACGATTCTTTTATAATTGTATGAGCAATTTCCACATACAAATCTTGAAAAATGTGCATTCCATCCCGATAATATGACACGATAACCAAAGCAAAAGCGACGAAAACGTTTCGTGAAATTCGTGAACCGGGTAGTCGCAGGGCCTTCCTAGATCGTTTATCGACAAATCCGTCACTGGGTCTTTTCACGGTCAGTTGTTCTCCGGCTCTTAACGATTCGGTCGCTTAACGAGAACACTCTCGTTTTTCCCTGAATTGTTACTTCCGGCTAAGCGCTAAGCGCCGTCGCAGCTGCACGCGTCGTAGAAACTTAATGCAAGTAACACCGATTTGCGGTGACGATTCGGGTAGAAATATAGGCAGAGGATCGCAACCGGCAGGGCCGGCTGGTTGGGCCGAGGAGGCTTCGGAAGCCCTAGCACTTCCCCGGCAGTCTGTCTGCAACGAGCGATCTGATCTCGTTTCGATACGTGCTCGTCTTGCAAAAGCGTATTCAACATTGTTAGCGAGCACTTTGCACCTAGTATCGCTTAGCCTACAATATAGGTCCTGTTTCTGCACTAATAGATAGGTTCAACAATTTGTTCGCTTTAATGTTTTATTACAGCGATGCCGGTTTAATTGCCCGCTCTTGATTCAATTGATTTCGGAATCTAGCAATTTATTTAGTCTTCATTCATCTTGAAACGATGTAATAGTTTTTAAATTTTCATAAAATTATATTAATGACATCTGCAATCTAATGTTGCATAATTTAAAAAATCTTATGATTTGTTATCGCGTTACAAAATTAAAAGAAGTATTATTGCTTTTCTTAGATTTCAGCGTAATTTCTTTATTATTTCAAAAGGCTCTTGAGCCAATTAAATCTGCAATACAAATATTATTTAATTTAATTGGCTCAAGAGCCTTTCGAGATAATAATTTTATTTTTTGTTAAGAGATAGACTTAATATAAAATGCATTTTTTATTGGATAAATTGATCGAACGTTGATTTCTCTTTCAAGAAATAATTTCTTTGTATTAAAGAATTAGCAATGTATATATGCAACACTTGTTTATCATTGAGATGAGGGTGTCATTCCGGGCGATAGATATAATACAATAACAACAACACCACGATAACGAGACTGCTCGGGACCGAAACAGAGAAAGAATTGAGAGACCGTCCCTAAGAGAATTCCTCAGCGACACGCGATCTTCGGCGCAGCTCTTCCTCCCTCTCCGATTTCCTCGGCATCGGAACGAGATATCGAGGTCCTCGAGAGGGCTTCGCATGGCTAACGGGAGAGAAGAGACCGATCTGGGGCACACAAATGCCGCGTAAAAGATAAAGGAAATCTGACAACCGCCTGTTTGTAAGCATTCAGAGACCCTTCCCTGAAGGAGCAGGTATAAACACTAAACACTCGGATCTCTCTCGGCGGAGAGATCTTTCACCTTTTACCGTCTAATTTCACAGGACTTACATCCTGGACGAGCAGAAGCACTCGGCGACTAGACGGTTTACGAGTTCTTTTTCCGTATGTAGGTACTTGAGGTACTCTTCAGCGATACCTCTCTTGAATGAGCTCTCTTGATTCAGGTCATCGAGCATGCACTTGACTCACGTCTCGCTTCTGATTTCTATTCCTCTTCTCTCGCCAACAATTATATTCGCGCGTTTAATTTCTAGCTGATATATTAATTTCTTCCTTATATCTCTTAGCTTTGTAATAATATCTTTTAATATTTTTTTTACTTGAATATAAATTTAATGACAATGATTTTGCCATTTGCAAGTTGGAGAAAAATCTCAAAAGAGAAATGATAATAGCCCCTTTTATAAATATCGTATTTTTAAATCTCTTAGATACTTTAGTGATAAAAATACAAAGACTACTTTCTGTGAAAGTAAGAGTTACTTGAATTAATTAAAGAATATATTTTTTTTTATTTGTTTTATGCTACTTTTTCTACGACTTTGAAACCAATTTTATTTTCTAAAATTCAACGCAATTAAAATACTTACTTTTAAAATGTTTTGCTGAGAAAAATTCATTTTAAAGATATACCCTATAAGAGATATATTTTATAATTCGATAGGTATATATATATATAATTAATTTGTAACTTAATCTGACACGATGTTAACGACATTTTTTAATTTCGCGTTGGCACTTAATTTTTTTTAATTGGTACATACCTATTTTGATACGAGCAATATGCTTTCATTGAAAATTTCCGTTAAAGTTTTCCCTCCGTGTCTTCAATAACGTGTTATACCGCTTGCTTGTATTGATTATTATTCTGCTTCTGCTTGCGTTCAGTGAGTAAGTGCCATTCTCAAATATAAACTCTTTATGCCGTTAACGATCGCTCGTAACACGATACGTTTCGTCGTGTATCGTTACACTAGGGGTAGTTAAGAGCGTAGCGAAGAAAGAGAAGTCGATCGCGCGCGCGTTTACTAGCGAAAGTGCGCCAAAGCGGTTTGCAATCTGTATGCTCAACATGCAATCATCACTCTGTGCCTTAGAGAAAAAGGAATAAAAGCAAAGAAATGGCAGAAAAAAGTAGATTATTGGAATATATTAACGAGAAACAAATAAAGAGAAAAAGAAAAGAGAAAAAGAAAAGAGAAAAGAACTAGATGAATGATAAATTTATGAATAACCATATTTTATTTATGTATTTATTTTTAATCTAATTATTTTCTTTCTTTTATTCTTTTATAATTGCATGTCGTGTTACATGACACACTTTATCGTTACACACCGTCTTATGAAGCGCCATCGAGATGATCCAACAACTATTTATTGGCTTTCAAAGCCGTTCGAACTAAATCTACTAGTTGGCTTCATTACGTTCTAGCTTGTCAGAGACTATTTAAATCTGATGTATTTTTTCTAAAGAAAACTTTATCATCTGCTAATGCAAATTTTCTTTGTCAACAAATTACTTATGCAGAGGAATAGTTACCATTTTTAATGACGCAAGTTATGTTGAAAATCGATTTATAAAGAGCCGATGCGAATTTGAATAATATATAGGTACGAAATTATATTTCGACTCGTATCAGTCGCGTCTTCCTGTACAATTTTTTTTTAATCGAGAGACCATTTTGTGTGGACGAATCAGTGTCGGATGAAACGGAGGGAATTGTATCTCGCTGCAATTACGATCCGCGGTCCATACGACCGCCGTCGTCGCTCATATCCCGCATTTGTTCCCAACGTCGAAACATCCATATCGTTCGCGAATAGGCGATCATACACAATAGGCTTTATCGTATCTTCCTTTGAAACTTGTAGCGCGATTCCACCCTAATTAACGAATCATTCATCAGCACTGTAATTAACGAGGCAGTCTCTATCGCGGATTATCAGACGGATTCTTCCGTTCCCGGCGTTCCATCGCGCCCGCGGTAACGTTTCTGAATATAAGCTCTCGCAAAATCTCGACGAGCAAAAAATATTTTCGCGATACTCCGTATTCCCCGAGATTCAATGGTTTGCTGATCTTGCGAACCGAAGCGAACGAATCCGAAAGCGCAGGAATTGAAAACGCGACAAGACGCGTGCAATTATTAATTCGTAAATGTACAATTCAGTATATAATTCAATAATTCAATAATTTTTCAGACAAATATACATATGTAGTATGATATTCATGAGCGTCCGCAGAATTGTTTCTAGAAGGGGACATAATTAATTTTTTGTATGTTTTTTTATTTTTTGTTTTTAATTAAAATTTTTTTAGTTATTTTATTTTAATTTTTTTCTATTAAATATGCAAATAAATTTGTGTTTATTCAAAGGGAATGCAAATGTTTAATTTTTTTACTGGTTCCAAGGGAGGGCAAATGCCCTCTCTTGCTCTCCTCTGCGGACGTTCATGATATTTCCATTAAAATACGAAAGAGAGCTCGAAATCTTTTTAATTTTTACAATTGTTTTGGATCAACTCGCGATGGAATCTCTAAACGTACATTCGTAATAAAATATATGTATTCGGTACATCATCTATATATGCGCATCAACTCTCGAGCAACATTTTTCCGGCTCGAGTCGCACTTTAAGGAGATTCTCGGAGATGCGATTGTTACGATTTCATAAAGCGCGATATATATATATATATATCGGGCGTATCTCTCTCCTGCGCGTAAATCTTTGCGTGCGTACTTATTCCTGCGGAGAAATATTATTATTTGATCAGTCATAAGTAGAAGGATGGAGGCTGCCGAGATCGCATGGCGCCTCGTTCCTCTCCCCACGACCTTGGCGAGCGAGAATCTCAGAGGCTGGAGCGTAGAGCGGCGATTTAATAATAAATCGGGTTTAGAACTTGCGCGCTTCCTCCCGGAAGAGAGAGACGTAAGGGCTGCCGCCTGGCTTTTCGGGCTAAATGGGCCGCGGGATAGGTAGGTGCTCGTTTCTCGAGGGAATCTTAGGCTCCTTAACCTTGGACTATACCGGCGCACGGTGTTTCATCCGCATCCATTATGCACTCGATGCCTAATTGATTTTTTACCCCTACCCTCCTCTTACGGTGGATATCTCCTATCGGTATCTTGACGCGCGTGTTTCGGTCGTCCGACGCGAATTACAGGGAATTTTGTGTTGGCAGTCGCTGGCAATGTTAATTAGCGTGCTTGCGAAATGTGCTCGGAACACATACATATATATAGGCGTATATATTGCGTGAACGCGCAATCGTTGCGTAATTCTACGCCGCCGAGCGAATTTTTGTCGAATTGTATTTAAATGCGCAAATGGATCCGATATATATATATATATATATATATATATATAAAATTTGTAATTTTATGGCGTGGCGCAGTTGTTACAAGCGAGACGCGTCTCTTTGTTATGCAATCGCGGAAATGAAAATCCGTGTCGATCACTAAATCACTATATTTATTTTACGTTAAGTTGCATTTACGAGTGACTCGATATGCTTTTCTCGACGCTGTTAGGAAAAAGAAAACAGTCAATTATATTATTCGAGGTACGGTATTGCATCGTCGATGTATTTATATAATAAGCATCCTTTTCACTAATTTAGTTTAAAAAAATTAATACTTGATATAATTTATACATTTTTATAGACTTGAGATGAAGACGAAGATGGGAGAATTTCATAAATATAAAAGATGCTTGTTTTATAATCTAGTGCGAGTGTCAAACAATCTAATAGTTAAAAAAAATTATTATTTGACGATTTATAAATTTTTATAGACCTGGTATGAAGACAAAAAAATGTTTAAACACTCGCGCATAAATAATTTTGCGAGGGAGAATTTCGTGGACATAATGATGCTTTTTTTGCCATAATCCGGTGCGAGTGTCAAAAAAATCTCATTTTTCGGCCAAAATAAAATTAGCTATATACGCCCCGGACGAAAATCTGTTTATGGTTACCATTTATCAGTCGCGGTAAGTTTGTTTGCGCGAAGGGTTCCATTCGATGAAGCTTTTCTCGTTGACTGAAGTGTGCCCCAACGGTGCATACGAGTGGAACTTAATCAAATGGTAAACGGGTGGAAAACAAGCAATAACGTCGTAGAGCCAAGCATGGCGAGGACGTGGCGAAAGGGCGACGATTCGGAGGGTGGAGGGAGAAAGAGAGGAAGGGAGAAGACAGACCCGTCAATCGGGAGGGGGTGTAAATCTGATAAAATCATCTCGAACCCTCGAGTCTCTCTTGCCCCTTTGCCGCGCTCGGATTCTCCTCGTAGATATATCCGATAGCAGACGCGGGGGCTCTCCTAAGTAACGTAAGTAATGTAAGAGGGTGGGTTGTTACTACGGTTGTTATTAAATGAGACAGCCTAATAGGCCCATTACGGACCCCTTCTTGCCGGTCCATTCCCACATAATATAATCCTCACCGCACGCGCTCGCTCGTTGCCGCTGTCCCTTAACGTCTCGCCAGCCCCCGATATATGTCGTGTATATCTTGATCCGAAGTGAACTCACGCCTACGAAAATCTTTGGTCTCCGAACGGCTCGCGCGAAAAACTGCTCCCAATACATATTCCTTTCTACCCGTAATCCGGGTTGACGTGCGCGGAAACAGAATGTCAACCGAGTCCAAATATTTCAGGCTTTTTCAACGAAAGTTAAGTTTCCTTTTCGCGAAAATGTCGAGAAAATAAGGGTCATTAGTTTTTGAATTTCTTGAGCAATCAAGCCTTAAAACACAAGAATGTTGCAAAATTATTCGAAAAAGGAATTTTGTTATTTCTCTTAAAATATTAATTGGTGTATTTATTAAATAACTTTACTTAATTAAATAAAATCAAGTTTGAATTGATCAAAACTGAAAGAAAAAAGAGAACGATCTTTCTGAACAAGCATACAGATATATCTTCTTCAATCTATTTCGAAAATACAACGGGCATAACATTACATATCGCAAGAATTAAAATTTCCTCCAGTATCGCGATATTGCTCGATATAATTCAGTTAATGCAGTTTGCATTTCTAATGCGAAACGGAGAGAGAGAGAGAGAGAGAAAGAGAGGCACTCTGTGCATTTGCAGTGCACGTGTGCGTGTAAAATTATGCCAACAGCGATAGTGAAGCAACGGATATTAATCCGTCGCAATGGTATTGTCGAATCTCTCGGGTGTCAAAGTTTCGCGAATGCGTATTTTTATCGTTAAAACATTAGCGCGTGGCAGAGTTTCTAATTGCCTGGGAGAGAGGGTGCGGTCTTAATTTATTCAACAATTCTGCCAATTACGCGAGCGGCGAATATGAATAACGACGTTGTTACGAATTAATTAATCATTAGTAAGTATTAGCAACTCCATTTGCCGACACTTTTGCATTAATATTAAATAACGATGACCATCGAATTAGCCTTTAAACGATGGCGTTTAATTATTGAATTATGCAGAAATACACATTATTTCTTTCTTTTATTTTTATTTGATCTCTATTTTATTAAAAAAAAAAATGCCTCTTGAAGAGATGTTTTACGCGCGAAGCTGCATGTTATAAATAATAAACTAATATCGACGTTGGCTCTACGTATTTTACTCGACGCTGACAGACATATCGTTCTACGGGAAATGAATGACGATCGCCAATCAGTATAAAGGTTCGAATTTCGGCCAGTTATTTCGACGCCATCAACCAATAAAACCGAAGGTCACATTGCCGCATCAACTGAGTTTAATATAAAGGTATTGTGTACGTTGTACGCGAATAAACGACGCGCGCGCGATACACGTGTTTGCGACGCAAAGTGCTCTCGCGGTGTTGCTAAAAAGCGTTATTATAAAATCGTTGTTATGCATGCCGTTTCATTTTTTTTTTTTTTCGTAACACGCGGCGCTTGTTTTCCGTGGAAATGAAACGCGATGCTTCTATAATATACAACTAATCGTTTTTAAGACCGAATTTAGAAACACGAAGCTTCACTTTCACGGTTTCCTCGTCGAGTGATCGTATCGCGTGATTATATCACACGCACCTTACTTAGAAATGTCACAGATTTTGCAAACCTTCTTCGCGTGAGACGTGTAAAGTCAAAATAATAAAAAGAACAGCTGATCGTAGGTTCTCTCGTGTTTTAATAATCGGTTAAAAATGATAAAGAATCGGAAAAATGAAGAGGGTATGCAAATATGGGAGAAAGAGTTTATTGTTTGACTCATTCGAAGTGCACTTTGCTTCGGCAATTTTAATGATATAGAATTATCAAGCTAAGCAATGTAAAATTGAAGCGGAAAAAAAGGGAGATGAAATTTTCCATTTTTTTTTTGTTATGGAAAATAGACTTTAGAAAAAGCTACATTCTCGAGTGAAAGTGCATGACATCAGTTACATATTCGTTCTACATATCGTCGCTATACGTATCTTATTTTTCAAAACGAGACATGTAAAATTCATTTACGCGTCAGCTAACTCTTGTGTTCAGTTTGACACAAATGATATTCATGTTGTGTCAGTTCTTTATACTTTGGTAGACCCATTATATAATATCTGGTAAATCTATACGATGACCAACTTATAACTTGCGGATAATGGAAGTTGATGAGTTGACGTTTAATGATCTACAGAAATTATCACAATATTTGAAAATATACAATCGCGCGCGTCAATAATAATATCAATATCCGTTATCTATCGTTTTTGTTTGTTGACGCGATGCGTTGAAATAACAAAGAGCTACTTGTGCAAGATATTTTTCATAAAATTTGACATAAAGCAATGACGTGATAGAAATGTATTTATCGAATAACGAAATCTTAAGAGCTCTTAAGAAGTCTTTATATACCATTTACTTTCACGATTGTGTGATCTCATTATTTAAAAATGTTCGCTTATCTTCAAAGATGTAGAGACCGAGATACATATCGTCTGAATGTATGAAAAGAGCGCTAGTGCGACGAGACCAACTCGTTACGTTCCTCAGCTGTCGCTAAGAGAACTCACGAAGGTAGAAGATCGAGTCCAAGGCCACGTACCTTGATAGCATCGCGAGATCTGCCGAGGCCTGGTGTCCCAGCAGCGGATTGGCGGAAGCGTCGCCGGGCGGCGAGAAGGTCGCGGCCGGACTGGTAGCACTGGTAGCACATCCGATACCGATACCCGCGGAATTGGCCCTGGGTTCCAAGGCGGGGTGACCGGTCGCGGAGATCCCGCGCTGGCCGCCGGACAGCCTGAGTGACGTCGGCGAGGACAGGACTCTACCGGGGCTGCCGCAGGACGGCGGGATCCTCTGCGAGTTTTGCGAGTTGGTCTGCGGTAACGGCGAGGTCCTGTCGACGTCCGACGACTGTCTCTCCCCGGAACCCGTGGACGTTGTCGAATCGACGGGCGGCGATTCCGGTCTGCCCAGAATACTGGAGATACTAAAGGACGTGTACTGCGGATTGCAGGCCGGCCTGAGCGCCGGCTTGCTGACCGAGTCGAAGCTAAACGAGTGGTGATGATTGTTCAGGCCGCAACCGGACTTGCCGTTCTTCTCCTGCAGTAGCAGTTCCGCCGGCGTCGAACTGCTCCTGGAACCTTCCAATTCCAGATCCTCCTCCGAGACCACCGAAACCTCGATCTCGGTCTCGCCGGACATCCTGCGTGCCACCTGTCCACTCGGGGAGATCTCCTGCTGCGGCAGTTCTTCCGCGGGCTAGCCCAGCTAGCCCGAACGATACGCGACGTTTCGAATAAACAAGGTTGGTTCGACGAGACTTGGAGATACTCGTATTCTCGTAGCGAGCCGATCCCGACGGTTAAACGGAATCCGACGTCTCGCGCGACGCGACTCGGCTGTCCCTCTTGGATGATCGCATATCAGGACGAGACACCCACACGCGCGTACACATACACACACACAGACACACACACACACACACAGGTACGTACGGCGCGTTGATCGTGGCTCAGATGACGAGACTGCCGCTCGTTAGTAGTCGATGATGCGCGGCCGTCGCCAGGACGTTCTCGCGCGTCGTCGTCGTGGATCGCGCAGACGGATCGCTCGATCGCGCGACATTCGTAAGCGATACCCTGGACGACAGGATGATAGGAGACAAGACACTTGGAGGGCCCACCCTTCGTTCCTCTCTCCCTATCGTCCTTCCGCCACCTATCACACCCCCTTCTCTCTATCTTCACCACCCTCTCTCTCTCTCTCTCTCCTTCTTCACCACCACTCCTATCAAGAGCTCCAACCTGATACCTAACTTCTCCTCTCCTTCTTTCGTTCACCCGCGGCGCGCAAAGCGTTTCTCGCGCGTGTAACACCGAGGCCAAGGTACACTATCAGTGCTGTCACCTTCCCTGAGTCACTACCACTGATCGCATACTCGTCGCATACCGGCGACGTTGTTGCATCGTCCCGTCATCGTCGCGACGCGTCCGTTCCAAAACGATCGACGACGACGAAGCAGCAGCAGCAGCAGCAGCTTTATATACGTTCGGTTGTTGCGGGTAAGAAAAGTCGTCGCGTTGGATCCGCTCGCGACGCGTCGGAATTTCGGGTCCGCGCGACGTAACGTTCAGAGCGTCGGCGCGCGCTGACAAGCGTTTCGGACCGCGCTAGAAAGAGAGCAGTGCGCGGGCACCCTCGTGTCCTGCGATACGCTTCGCGGCGCGGAGTGACGAGCCGCGGCGGATGGGCGCACTGTGTGTGCTCGCGCTATTAAGGGTAGGAAAACGCCGGAGAAACCGCAGGTCACACGGATGAGGAGAGGCTCGTTCTCGCACGTATACACACACATCCTCGGGATTTGTGCGAGAGGGTAGGAGGAACGCGCGCGGGGTGTAGAGTACGCGACGACGACGAGAGGGAGGGAGAACGTCGGCGGCGGGGAGATAGATAAGACAGAGAGAGAGGAAAGAGCGCTTCGGAGTCACGCTTCGAGAGTCACGGGGTAGTTATTGCGCGCCGCGCGATAGCTAGACTGTAGGGTGCGAGAGGGAGGGGATGAGCGACCCGTTCGCTGGAACGGGGCGAGTGGATAAATTAGAGGGTGTCGGAGGGAGACGAAACGAAGGGAACACGTCGAGGGAGAAGAAGGGGTGGAAAGCAGAGAGAGAGAGAGAGAGAGAGATGGGGCGCGGAACGGACGGCTAAGCTGCAAGTTGTCGGAAGGGGTGTCGGTGCGGTTGGGATAGGTAGGTAGGTAGGTAGGTGGCGGGGCGGAGCCTACAGCTTGCCAGGGGTTGGTTTTCCGGACTCCTCATAGGACGGAGATGCGATCGATGACACGGCTACCCGTTGGGGTAACCCTCGCCGCGGACCAATCGCGTCGGTCGCGCCGTCCTTAACTCGGAAGATACTCGCCCTCGACGTTTCGCGCTCGAAACGCGAACCCACGGCGACGGGGTGGTTATACGCGAGACGACGAGGTGAGAGAGAGAGAGAGAGAGAGAGATGAACGTGTGGGGGTAACACACAACCCGGTGGCGGTGGCCGTGCCACGCCGTGTTACTTATCCATTATAACACTCCAAGATCTTGATTTAAGCCTGCAGCCAGTGGTGAGCTTTTAACCAATTAGCCTTTATAGCCTACCCTCCCGCTTTCCGCCAACCCTTCTCCTTTCCAGCTCGCCTCGTCGAGTCTCTTCCTACTCGTGGCAAGCGATGGTAGCCGCGTCGTTGGTGTACCTATATATATATATATATATATATATATATATGTATATATATGTATATATGTATATACATATACCAACATCCTCGTCCACAACCGCACGATAGATATACCCACCTAATCTACCGGCTCTCTTCATCCTCCTCTTCTCTTTCTCTCTCACTTTCTGAGAATCTCTATTTCTCCCTCCTTTGTGCCTTTTCGTTATATGTACCTACATGCATTATGCGCATTGGTGTATCAACCCAATGCACTCGCGTGTGCAGAGACATTAAACACACATATGCGCTCTCTCTCTCTCAGTCGTCCAGGTGGATTGCGAGTATTCGCGCGTGGGGTTGTAAATAAGCGTCAAGGCGACGCAAATTAAGAGTGGACCACGCGGGCGATTCGGATCGCGAGATACGCCAAATCGTCGCTTGCTTTCCTAGCGGGCTACGCGTCAGGTTTATCGATTGGAGGATGCTTTCTCGGACTCTCTCTCTCTCTCTTGAGCTCTATATCTGTGAAATAATAACAGTCATTCACGGTCACTATATTCCGCTGATGAATCGCGTTAAGTATTTATTACTCGATTATTTGAAATACTGTTCGATATCTAAAGCGCGTAATTACTATAATAATTTGCCAATAAAATACATTGCTTTTAGAAGCCAAGCTAAAGATGCGTAATATATTGTATCATCGTTATTGTATCGAGATAAATTTGCATGGAAAATACTTTTTCTGTTTTTCATCAATTTCTTTACTTTATATTCGACGTATTATATTTTTCGAGAAATATATCTTTGATATAAAACAACTTGTAATATTATAATTAGGTTTCTTTTCTCCTCAAGAGGATATATCTGTCAAAAATCAATCTTTATTTATTCTTCCATTGGTACAACTTGGAACATTGCGGATAATTACTCCAATTTTTTTCGAGAAGCGATAATTCTCCAAACGGGATATATATATTTTCCCCGTGCAATCACGCCGCAGCGTTCCATCTCTTAAATCCATTCCGTCAACTTTTTCCTTCTACAATTCGCGAAGCTAATTAGAGAGAAGAACGTTACTTAATCCCATTTAAGTTCAACCGGTTCGATGCCGCCGATAAAAACAGCGTCTAAAAAAGAACCATCCCCTTTCCTTCGCGACCGGGGATAATTAATACGCGGGACATAACAAGATTGTAAAAACGCAAAGAGGCAGAGCGCTGTTCGCGGCGTTCCAAGTCGGAATGCAAACGAGCGGCGCGCACGCCACGAGATAGCCACACCTCGCGCGGAAAACGCTCGCCTCGGCGAGAAAGCGACCGCGCGATTCGCACGGAAAGCCGCAACCTGACCGCTCCGAGCTTCGGATAGTTCGCTCCCTGCTTGCGGCCAAGAAGATAGAAGAGGGAACGTTCTTGCACGTCTCTGAGAAAATAAAGAAATTATCATCAGCGTCTCAACGATGCCTTTGCAGCATGCAGTAAAATGCATAAACTTACTTGTACGTTTCGTGGTTCCCCCTTTTTTTGTTCTTCAGTTTTTTCTTCATTTAATTTTATTATTTTGTTATATATTTTCAATTTTTTAATATAGGTATGCAAATAAATTGCAGGGTTTGAGGGCAAATGTCTCCTCTTGCCCTCTCCTATGTGGATGCTCGTGGCTCTTTAGCTCTATTAATGTGCGTGAATCTGAAAAAGATAACGTGTTCGATAAACTGAAGAGTCCTTTGTATAATAATAAATATGTTGCAATTATGAGCTGGGATAAATGAAGATAAAAAGGTGGGAAAATATAATAAAATTTTATTTTATATTTTACGAAACTGTGTGTGAGGCAAAGAGTGTAAAAATATTTATATAATTTTATATTCTTACACACAAATTTTTCAAAATAGTTTATATTAATATTAACGTGAATATATACTGGCACGAGCAATTCAAGAAAATTGTTGGTAAACGTCTCTCGTGAATTTGTCAAAAAATTAAATATTAACGCATTAATATAAAGTACGATTTTCATGTCGATATTGTACGATCATTTATGTTGTATCTAATAGAATTTGATGTAAATGTACATATCGCTGTGTGTGTAGGGCTTCGCGTAAATCGGTATATATTTCTATGCGCACACTCGATTCACGTTATGACGGATGGTCATATTCCATTCACAATACGATCATGATTCGGTTAAATATCCTTTAATGCGTTTGAATAGCGCTGTACAAGTTGCGACCGCGTTCAAGTCACGATATGATTCCATGTAATGGCAATTTTTTAAAAACATCGCGTACATCGCATACACGAGTTTATCATTATTACTTACAGATTTTAATACTAACACGCAATATATTTTATGAAACTTATCAGCGTGATCAATCAATGAATTAAAAAAAAAAAAAATAAAATAATTCAAAAGTAATTTAATACAATTAATTGATTACAATACGCATTCGCGTGTATATGTGTGCATGCGCGCGTAGAAAAATGATATAATAATTTTTTTATGATTCCATATAAATTTATAAAAATAAAATATATCGAATATATAAAAAGATTTCGTATTATATAGAACGATGATGTGCGTGCGTATTATCACAAATAAATGCTCAACGATAATATTCTTGGAAAAATGGCACACTTATATAAAACTTTATAAAATTTTCATATACTAATATGACTTGAATAAAAATCATTGCATTACGGTTTTTACATTAGCAAAAAGTATATAACTATTAACGAAAAGTGAGCGGTATGCCGTGTTTGTGTATTTTTAATTTTTATTTTAGTCGCGGGCAAAGTAATCCTTAGTATCGTCTCGAATAGTCGAATAGCCTATCGGAAATAGAAAAATGCATTATAGGAAGAGTATTAGACCGTCTGGCCAAAGTGCACTGGCGCTTTGTAGAATCGGACTCGCGTCCATTGCATCGAAAATGCAGAGGCGCTCGAATGTTTTGGAATATGCGTGTAGCCGATAGAGTCGCAATCGTTGCGAATGGCGAAATCCTATTATCGCGCATATCGTTATATACGGAACGTATTTCGCGTGAATTCGCGCGCGTAAAGTTTTTCTTCTCTACCACAAGTGCACGATTCAGAATTTTACTGATAAAATCTTCTTTTAATTCTTTCTTTAATTATCTTTATTTTCAATATTTATATTTAAATAATAGAGAAACGTGTATTGTGTTAATCAACGTAAGATTAGGGGTGAGAATCTTCGTGGTACTTATACATTTAATTATACAGGGTGTCCGGTAACTAACGGACCAACGATTACAAATGGATTCTTTGACCAATTTGGGAACGATTTTTCCTCAGCGAAAATGTCGAAAAAGGTCATCATTTTTTACAACTTTCCAATATTTGTCATTATGTATCTTTATAACTAAGTCCTCGAATTAAAATTTTATTATAGTAAACTCTACCTGAAATTAACCGAAGAATGTAATTATGTTAGACTTTTAACTCCAAAACGTTTAGTTTTCAAAAAACCCATTTTTTTCAATCGCTTATAACTCGAAAATTATTGACTTCTCAACATTTTTGCTAAGAAAAATCCGCCCTTAATTATTGGTCCGTTATAGTTACCGGACATCCTGTATAAATGCGGTCTTTTGAATTCGAGTCTTATTTCTCGAATAAGGGATGTTTCCATTTAATATCAATATCAATAGAAGACAGCCATTGACAAAGTGCTAAATATATACACACATACATATTATATAAATAGACTGTGGAATAAAAAGACGACAAGGCAAGGACGAGTCGCTATAACGAGGTTACATCGAGAGCTTTCTCAAAGAGCAGCTCATATTTCAGAAGCGGTTTCGAGAGAAGGGAGGGATGGGGACAGAGAGAGAGAGAGAGAGAGTTCGGGAGTTGATGCTGGCGATTGAAGTTTCGAGATTCGGTTCAAATTGGCAGCCGCTTAAGAGATTTCGCGGACGGGCGGGTGTAGAGGCTGTGTGCATAATGCGACCGGCACCTCTGCTGCATGCATCCCCTATACAGAGGCGCCCCTTCCTTGCTCTACCTTCCTCACATTTCGTCTTTCCTTTTTTCTCTCTCTCTCTCTCTTTTCCCTCTTCCTCATTCGTGCCGATGCGTAATACTAGGGACGGTCCACGGTCGAGTGCCGCCTGTATTTTACTTTGTGCTTGGTGCGTAAGAGGATTATATCCTCTCTCTTTTCTTCTCTCTCGAGAGAGAGGGAGGGGGTGCTGTCTTCGTTCCGTCTCTCTTTCTCTTTTTTCTCTCCCGGGACCCGGGATGACGAGAGAGAGAGAGAGAGAGAGAGAGAGTGAAAAGGGCAGGGGGTGAAAGAGAGGAGGTAAGTGGTGGGTATGCTTCACTTTTCACAGGGGCGCCTTTGTTCCCTATTATCCGATGTGATTAGTCGATGATGCAGGTAAGCT